AAAACAGAAAAGAGAAGGAGGAAAAATTAGCAGGAAGGAGTTAGCAAATGCTTTGGGAATGGAGGAGGGAGAAGACACAAGCTTTCCATGTAGAAGTCTTAGGCTAGACTCATGTAGTCATTCATTTTCGATTGTTGTTTTTCTTTGGCTTACTGCATTTCACTGGAGACGTATTTTCACTTAGCAAATGATTGCAACAGTTTTATGGAACTGCTGCAAGCACGTATCTGCTGCTGCTTCAAGCAGAGCTGATGGAAGGGAACACAGAAATAAGTCTCAGTTACTCTGTGCAACGTCTGCTGGTTTAATTGAGCTGCTGCAGGAGATTTGTTTCAAGCTAAGCTCCCAGTTGTGGCACTGAAAGGTCTGAGGGACACAATCACATGGATCCATGCAAGCCAGCTCTGCGAGAGAACAGCAAAGGACAGCACAGACAGTAACTTCTTAAACTACTGTAGGTAGATTTGCTAAGTTACACATGCTGACACTCTCATTTTCCCTTAGGCTAATTGGGAAGCCCACAGATAACCCCCAATATCACCATTAACATCGTATCTTTGAGCATACATTGAGCATGTTACTAATGTTTTATATCATCTATCTAGTGTCCTCCCTCATCCAAACTTGCACTTTAAGGGTACAGAGGAAATGTCTCCTTTCTCTCCCTTGAAAATAGCTTTTGCTGGGATCTCCTTCCTACAGGCTTTTAAATCCTCCTGCATTTCACAGCTTGCTGTCTTTCCTGCTGCCATTCCTGAACTGAAAAGACTTGCTCTCTCCCTTTGCAGAAGATGAATTTTCTCTCTGCCTCGAATTCTTTCTTATAATGTAATTCTCCATGAAGCCTTTTGAACAAACCTCCCCAGCTTCCAGACTGCACTTATTTCACGTAGCTCTGGGGGTGCTGCCTTGGGCAGCTGCCAGGCTGCTGCCAGGAGGACCAGTCCTGCTCCCACTGTCCAGCCCCACTCTCCTGTCGTTTCCCACAGCGGCCATCAAGCTAGTGTGCTGATCGTACAGAAAACCAACCAAGAAAAAACAACTGCTCCAGGTTTCTGACCAACTTGCCCTATGATTGCTGGCCACAGCTGCAAGGCATCTGCAGCAGAGATCTGAATCAGAGCAGTGTCACTTCCCTAGACTAAATTACCCTTTGCAAATACCTGTCCTATCCCATGTCTGCCCCTCATACACAGAACATGCGTGAATAAGGTCTTTTAGAGTTTCTGTATGTTGTAGTAGCCCAAATCTCATTTTCAAATGTGAATGTAAGGGTTTCATTAAAATCAGTGCAGTTTAGAAGACCTGTGTGAGAATAGGGTTTAGATGCCTAAGATGCTTTGCCCTTCTGAAAGTATCCCTGAACTATACCAAGTGCATTTTGCTTTCCAGGGATTGCTCCCAAAGTGCAGAGCTGCATCTCAGCCTGTCTGACTGAAATCCAAACCTTCATTGCAAACATGTCATCACTTGTAGTCCCTCATGAAGATTTCAAACTGGATACACTGAAGTTGCAAGGTCAACACCTTTAGGAGCAAAACACAGCTTGCTACATAATCTTTATACATAAGCCACAGGATATTTTGCTCCTTACTTGCCAATTCAGCCTATTTTAAAAGAGAATTCAACAATTTTAATGTTCTGTTTTGGAGCTGACTGCTAAACTGATTCTATCATAATAAAATACATCTGCATAAATAACATGTATTTATAGTGTTTCTACAGGGACTTTCAATATTCATTTCAGATATCACTTTGCCACAGAAATTAGGAGGAGAATACTAGTACTGTATTTCCTATGAAAATTTTACAAAAGTATCAAATATATCTGTAAAAGTTTTAAAATGGTAAGCCTGCAAACAAACCAGTATTTTTTTTTTCTGAATGGCTGTTTAGCTCTAAGTTGGCTCCCGTCACAGAAGCTTTTTTGGGAAGTACTTGAGGATTTTATGACTCTTTGTATTTTTATTAAAATATATCTTTGCAAAAATGTACTGGTTGAAGTGCATACTTTATTTGTTGGTAATTGTCAAAGTTCATTTTAGCATATCCCTGATTATGGTGCATATTGAGTAAACCGCAATTTTAAAATGTTGAATGTGTGGTTGCTTGCTTATAACTAATCAGGGGGCTGAACAGTGTCTGAGGTAGTCTTTGCTCACGAACAAATGTTCCACACAAAGAAAACAAATACAAGGTGTTCTGAAGGAAGGTTGGACTAGATCAATTAATGGTGGGCAGGTAATTGGCTTCTTTGAAGAGGTATTCCTAAATAACTTTACTGCTAAAAGAGCAACTGCTAAATGAGTGTTTTCCCTTCCAGTGTTCAGGGGTTGAAAAATGCACTCATCACTCATTAGCCCAAAGTCTGAGTCAGCTAGACAGCGTGAAAAAATACCTGGCACTCAAAGCTCACGTTTAGCCTCAAAGCTGTGTCCTGCCACTCAACAGGAACAAAACAGTCGTGCACTGCTTGTGACCTTCCTTTACTTGTAATGTAGTGTCAATCACATTGGTCTTTAATCCTTTCCAAATTATAACATGTATCTCTTGTGCTTTAATTTTGCTTCATTCCGTTCCCGACTTTATTTTTTTCTTCTTTTATCCCTGACAAAAGAGGACACTATCTCTCTCCATTATATTCAGTATTTCAAAATTTGTGATGTTCGTGACCTTTTCTTTACTTTCTTGACACTGTTTCTATACCTTTACCCAACCAATTTTTAGTCTCTGATTTCTCCTCTGGGTTTTTCTCTCTAAAATCCCTCTTTCTTTCAATACCATGATTTCTATTTCTAATGTATCATTTCAGTTCTCACATCCTACCTACCAAGCAGATGGTCTGTGATGTTCCAAGACCTTGGGACCCAAGGCTTGTGATGGTCCCAAGACCTTGCAGTCTAAATTAAAATTCCAACTCCTTGTAACTGTGGGATCTAAGATGTAGTGGTGTCATCTTTCCTGCCTCTATCTTTTGCCTGAGAGAGCTGAATTTGGAAGTCTATTGAGTTATTCCTTGTTTCAGCTGCTCCTGTGAGAAGCTGATCTTCTACTCCTTCCTTTAGTTTTGTGGTTGCTAAAAAAATTGTTTCTTTTTCCCAGATTTTTATTTTGAATCCTCTTCTCCAGCAACTTGTTCCAGTTGTCATTCAAAGTTTTCAAGCTGGGGGAGGAGGCTATTGACTTGATAATTTTCACCGCTACATTGACAACTCAATCTTAAGTTTTCTATCCATGGAGACTTTGAGAAGTCACTGAGCAGTGGAAGAATAACTACAATGGGAAACACACGGATTCAGGAGGGTGTCCCCTCATTAGCTTACACTCGGTTCATATTTGAATCATTAACTTTGTAGGCATTTAGATGGACAGTTCCTTTCAGTCTTAAACAAAAAAACTTAATATCTGTGAATTTGATAACTTGCTGAAGAAGCTTCCGGCTTTTTTTTAGCCAAGTTGATTTTCGAAGCCTGGCGACATATGTTCACACTTGTAGTTTCAGCTGTGTCTGTACATCTAATACATTTTGTTTGCCTAAGGAGGAAATTCACTGTATGGTGGTTAAATATGAGCAAATGTAGTATTGTCTTTCCTGTGCTGGTTGTCGCTCTTACCTCTCTCTCTCTAGCACAAGCTACCTACACGTAAAATACAGAAGAGTATGTAATACAGTAAGGATATGTTGTACAAGTGCAAAAGACCACACCTTGTTCTTCAAAGCGTTTGAAAAGTGTCTGAGGTATTTTTCGTAGACCCTTGTTTTTAAAAATCTAGAATCCACAGCCATCATGTGAGGCCAAATAGACTTCTTCAGCTTTTTTCTTATCTGAGGTTGTTGACCTCAGGAGAGGAGGAGAAGGTTACAGGGTCAAAGTCTTTTCCTCCTTGGAGCTTGCTGCTTGCTGGGAGAGGGTTGGCTGGAAAATAGATGTTTTAGAAAAAGGGTTGAGGGTCATGATTTTAATTCTGTTAGGGAACAGCTGGTTTGAGTTTCTTTCCACTTCTATCTTCCCTCCCTTCCTCACAAATCCATGGAGAGAGAAAAATTTGTTCAGAGGAAAGCAGTAACACAAAAATAAAGGATTGCAGTATTTTCATGTTTAAAATAGAACATGTTTGTTATAGGACTTCACATTAAGAGAGAGAAGAGGAAATTATTAAAATAATTTAAATCCATTATTATTTTGAGCATTGAATTGAGATTGATCTAGAGTGCCAGAGGTTTATTTGTTTTCCTGCCAAAAGTTAAATTGTTAATAGTAATGTTCTAATGTTTTTTGGTGGATAAACAATATGCATTATGATTTTTAATTTAGTGATGGACAAAGCTAATTATGAATGTGCCATGTTAGTTTGCATGCAAGTTGCTGAAGAAAGATGGTTTGATTTGGCTATTTCTGTTCAGATTTTCTTCATCTTTGCATGCTGCTTTCATGCACTAAGACCAAACAGAGAGAAGGAAACTCACAACTCTCAAATGAATGGCAAACTAGGAACAGATTTTTCGTCTGTGCTTCTCTGAAACACTGGCCTCAGGCTGTGTTGGTGTGTGGCTCAACAGCAATCAGAGGTCATAATTTCATTGGCGGTTAGCATCAGGTTTAATTTTTCTAATATGTTACATTTACCAAAATGTCTGGTTTCAGTTACACTTATGCACTGACTGAATCAGCTTTGAGCAGCATGATGTTTTAAGGTACCTGAAAGGCTACAAGAACGTTTATGGAACACATATGCTAATTGTTTTTAAGCACTTTCCTTTCTAAACACAAAAATGTGTTTTTGGAAAGCCATTTAACAGTAGTAGCTAATGATGGTGCGCATTTATTCTAAGAAATGAGCACAAGGAATAGGTAAAATAGTTGTTTTAACAAGACTGCCATCTACTGATTTCCACAATTAAAAATATCCCTGAGGAGTAGATTGTTCATAGTTTTTTATAGCTTTATTTTCAAGATTTGCAAGATCAAGAAAATTATAATGTCTTTCTGTCACCTTAGGAATGCGACCAGGTTCACATTGATGATGTGTCTTCAGACGACAACGGTCAAGATTTAAGGTACAAGAGAACTGAACAAGATAAAACATTGCTTTGCGAGTTCCTTCCTGGGAAAGCAGTGAACTGCTGTAACGCTTACAGTAGCCCTCTGTCTTTTTAGCTGTCTTTGCCTTTGCAACCCAGCAAAGTGAGTAGCTGGTGGTTGAATGTAGCCTGTTGCCTTTTGTTAATCTGGGGTTTTTCTTATCTCTGACTAGCACCTATAACTTCGGAACAGACGGCTTTCCTGCGGCCGCCACCAGTGCGAATTTGTGCCTCGCGACGGGGGTGCGTGGAGGAGTGGACTGGATGCGAAAATTGGCTTTCCGCTACAGACGAGTAAAAGAAATATACAATACCTACAAAAATAATGTTGGAGGCAAGTGACTATGAAGTCTGTAACAAATATAGACAAGAAGTAGTATAAAGGAAGAACTTTTAGGTTCTGTTCCTTTTTTAACATGGTAGAGTTTAGCAAGCTGTTTAGTTTGCGGTGTGCGGAAAATTGTCTCTGAGCTAATGAAAGCAAAGGAAAATGACAGAACTTTACTTAATTACAGTGCAGACATGCCCTTATCTACTCCACAGGTCTTCTTGGTCCAGCAAAAAGAGAGGCTTGGTTACAACTAAGAGCAGAAATTGAAGCTTTGACGGATTCTTGGTTAACACTTGCACTGAAAGCACTCACCCTTATTCATTCGAGGTGAGTACAAAGAGTATGGGGTTAGGAAAATTGAGGATGTCTGCTGATGATCTAGAAGAGGCTGCCTGGTCTGGTGGGCAAAATGCTGAACCTGGAGGACCTTCTTATTCCTTGTTCTGGTCTGGCCATGCCACTCTGTACCTTGCTCTCCTGTAAGGTGGAAAAAAAACCTTTCTTTGTAAGTGGCAATAATAATGGTGAGGGATTCTGATGGGAGGGATAAGGTTTTCCCTTCTCTGTTTTGTTAAAAAAAAGGGTGTTTGTGTTTTCTCTTCCATAGGACAAACTGTGTGAACATTCTCGTAACAACTACTCAGCTAATTCCAGCTCTGGCGAAAGTCTTGTTGTATGGACTAGGGGTTGTATTTCCCATAGAGAATATTTACAGTGCAACTAAAATAGGTGAGCTATTTTTATAATGCTGTGATACATTTGAAGCTGTAATTCTAAATAAAAAGATATTGTATCCTATATTTATTTCTCACATGCATTCGCTGTAGCAAATATAGAGATTAGTAATACCTGATCTCATGAAACACTTTTCATGCTAAAGCATCCTAAAAGTGCTTTTCAAATGCTTGTCATGATCCAGCACAGCAAGCTTCAAATAGCTCTATTAACACTGCTGGAGCCTCTGTTAGGAGGAAATAGAATTGCTTTTTTGTCATCGTTTCTCACAACTGTGAGACTATGTAGCAGTTGAGGAGGCTTTTTAGTAGGCTGTGAGTACAGGATGCTGAAGTCTCCCCAGATTAGCAGAAGAAATTCTGTAAAGGTAAGCCTTGGCTCCATTTGTTTTCATGGGCTCTGGAGCAAATTTTGGTAAACAATTTACCAGAAGCAAGAATGTTTTGCTGCAGAATGTAATTATTTAAGTTCATTCATACTGACTGTAATAAGCTTCAGCCGGGCAAATGTTTATTTCTGTTTTCTGGTTCAATATAAAAGATGTTATTCTGAGTATGTAGAAGTACATAGGACCAGATGGCAATGGTGCTTGTAGTTTTTAACGTGATTATGACATATCTGTTCTGTCTCAGATTCCCTCAAAATTGTGGGCTACATGAAAACATTTTTCATGTGTTCTTAAGTATCTATAATACAGGAAGCTCAAATGGCCAAGAAAAAATGGTGGGTTATTTTTGTTTGGTTTTGTTTTTTAAAAGAACCTTGGTTGAGAGTTTTATGTAGAAATTTGAAAGCGTTACTATAAAAGATTTAAAACTGTTTTGGGGATAGAAATGTTATGATACTGTCTGTCAAAACTTTAAAGTAAATTAAAACTTTGAATTATAATACTTTAAATGCACATTTTAATTAAAATATATTTTAATAAATATTCACTTGTGACTTCACGTACACAGGACAGAAGGGTATTTTTGGAAAACTGCTTTCAGTCACTGTCACAGGAAATCATGAGATTTTTGTAACATGACACAACTCATAGTTTTCGAACACCGTTTCAACCTAGTTAGTGTTGGAGTTGTCTTATGACTGGCGCTACTGTTAAAGGGTGTCATTGAGTAGTTTGGCTTCTCCGCTGGCTAGAAACCTCTTTTTAATTTCCAACTTATTTGTTCTTACACTGGTATTGTTCTGTAGCTGAAATAACTATTTTGAAAAACACAATTTTTCCCATCAGTTGCTGTAGACACACAGGTAAGCATGTACCATGACCAGAATGAAGTAATCTTTCAGAATGGGGACATTTGAGAAAACTCAACTGTAAGCATTCTTTCTGGCTTCCCAGTACCTGAAGCTTCCCAGTATCGATACCTATGTGTAGGACTGGAGCACTGGGATCATGTCCTTAGGTCTGTGCAGTGAAGTAATGAGACTCATTAATGGATCCCAGTGTAGGATCGAGGACCTTGCCCATATATTGGATCACAGGCACTTAAATCTGAATCTTTTGGGTGACCTTCTAAATCAGGATACTACTGTTTCAGGAGCAGTGATTAATCTTGTCACAGGTTGTGGAGAAAAAGCTAGAATTTCCATTCAGATTCAATCAATTTGCTCAGTTCAGGATACTGACCGTAAACAGCCGGTAGAGAATTCTACTGGTAGGGAAATTCCCCCTGAAACCTGTCTCAGATTAGGGAAGGAGACAAGAAAGGTGATATTGTGGACCACTAGTCTGCTGTGTCTACCATGGCGTATGTACTAAAGGACTTCACAGAGCAGATTTTAAGGTTGCCTGTCAGCTGCTGTGGTGGGAGTAAAGCTGCAATCGGCCTTGATACACCATCCTGCGGGAGAGGCTCTTCTCTCCCAATACCTCTAATTATATGTTCAAAGTGTTGGGGAGATCTGGACTAAAAAGTGATTTATTTGATGTCATCCCATCACCACCTATCCTGAATAGTCTGATATTTTTCTTTCAGGAAAGGAAAGTTGTTTTGAGCGAATAATTCAAAGATTTGGAAGAAAAGTAGTGTATGTTGTTATAGGGGATGGTGTCGAAGAAGAACAAGGCGCAAAAAAGGTAACGGCCCTTTTTCAGTGCGGGTTGATTTCAGGAGTCTGAAAGCAAAATTGTCTTTTCTTTGACATGGTTCAGCATGCATTGACATTTGGGGTTTGTGTCTTTGCTTTATGAAATATGTTTTGACCATATCTAGTAGAAAGCTACATAAAACTGTAGATAATAATGTGCCCTGCTGTTCTCCAAGAGACACATTATGCTAGCTATGTATATTCAATGTATTTCAATAAGGAGCCAGAAAATGGACCCCGGCTTTTGTGCCAAGAACTAATAGTTCTGTTTTCATTGGCATCCCAAAATACCACATAGGATGTTATGAATATAAGCAAAAAATGGCAATTCATGCTGATCAAAGGCAGTGTGCTATTTAACTGTATGAAATATGTATATGTCACACCTTGAAAGGTATGTAGGACTGGAGTAGGTATACATAAATTTTAGTTTTCTTGTGTGTCCATAATTTGGATTCTGCATTCAGGTAACTACTTGTGGCTTGTCCTGCATTCATAACCTCAGTTAACTGAGCAGAGGATACTATTTTACTGTATCTTTATTATTTTTTGCTTTTGTTTGGGAAGAAGGGAAAAATTCACTTTTTTTTTTCCCCAGTGTGGAGTAAGCTCCCTAAAAAGCAATACTTCCCACTGACAAATAATAGGCAGTATTCCTAGCCTTGCTATTCTAGCCAAGTACAGCAGATAGAGAGTCTTCACTTGGAGGAATGAGGCATAATATTGGCTAATTGAACAATAGGAGAAAGAGCAGGAAAACGGGCATTTCTGTTCTTGCTTCCTTTTACAGGTAAATTGCTTTTACACAGCTGCTTTTTTACCACGAAACTCTCTGTAGTACTTCTGTATCTGTTTCCACTGTAACTTTCTAAATTGCAGAAGTGAAACTAATTAGTCCGCATGGCGTTTTAACAACCATTGACTGGTTTTGCTTCATGAATTCTGGGTTTTGTGCCCCCGAAGCATTGCGGGTAGGTTCCCGGCTCGTCCCGGCACTTCGCAGAGTCTCAGTTTCATATATCCCTTTGGCGGACTGATGGGAACAGTTTGCTCCTTTCTCCTTCAGAAATGCCTTTCATCTTTGCGGAGAAATGTTTTCCCGCTGTAAATGATTACATTTTAAAAGCTGCATTTAAGATCAGGGGAAAAAAAAATTCTTCTCTTTGTTCCTTTTCTGTTGCTCAGTGAAATAGTGTTGTATATGATAATGGCAGGAGTAGTCCTTTCGGTAACATTATCTAATTCAATGCTTTTTTCAACAGGAAACATGATTCAGAAAAGCATAAGAAAAAGCCTTTCCAGTCGCTAAGAGGAGTAGCAGTATAGAAAGTTCCTTTGTGCCATTACTTCTGTGTATTCTTTCTCGGTGGAAGGAATTTTCAGATTCAAAGCATGTTAGATGCTCTGGATTAAATTATCCGCTGCAGCGATGCCAGAGAAGTCAATAAGTAGACCAGCAGCCCTGTCTTTCTGCAGAAACTATTAATTTGATTAAGGAAAATGCTTCTGTGATTGTTGTCCTGCTTCTTACTCCACCGAAAAAGAAGTCACCGCTTCACACTGTGAAAGCAGGATTTGCCTCTTAAGTTTTGGCCCTCGCATCCTGCAAGAGCAAGAACCACGCAGTGCCTTGCGGTACGAGGAGCTGCTCCCGACTCAGATGATGCCTTTCTGGTTATCTGCTCCTCAAGTTGTTTTTAGGGTTATTAGGAGGAGCATGCATGGGAATGCACCCTAGTGTATACTGTGCTTCAGTTTAAAGACATATGCTTTGTCTAAGGAATAAATGATATCGCTGTATTAGAAAACAGTAAAAGCCTAGGCTTTCTCTGGAGAGTGTGCAAACAAAACAGGAGAAGATTTACCCCCACAAAAACACCCAAAGCCCATCAATCCGAAGTGGCATAACTGTCCCATGATGTACCCCATCGCCTTGCTTATCCCCTGAACCTTGTTAGGTGGTTCCTTCCTACCTTCCTTCCCATCAGCACGTTGGGTTTTGTGATACTCTCAGGGCAGGGACAGCTTTTGTCTTATCCCTTTGCACAGCGCTTTGCTGAAGGGATTTGGCCTGTGGTGAAGCCCTTAGTATGTGTACGTTTCTTTACACTACTTGGACTGTAAACGGTACACCCTTCTTTAAATAGCACTTCATTGATTTCATGTAAACTATAATGAGTATTTTTGAAGTGAGCGTATAAATTCAAACCCATTTAATTTGAGAGATTTTTTATTCTGTGTTCATTTAGTGAAAAGAGCTGAACTTCCAGCTTAGGAGGTGAGAAAGTTAGTGTTTGTTATTAAAAATAATTTATCAATAATTTATTAATGATTTATCAATTGCTTCATCATAAAACAAGATTTTTATTTTTGTCCTTCATTCACAGAAAATCCTGAGTCAATACAACAATAGGAAAAATAAAGGACACATTTAAAATCTTTTCATTATTGTCATTATTGTAAAAATTCAATAATAGAAGCTTTTTAATACTGTTGAAAAGACCATTGCTCTTTAGAGAAACATTTTTAGGATAGACTGTTTTTTCATAAAATACCTCTTTTGATTGATGAAAGTAAATACAATACACTGAGGAAACCGCACACTCTTACGTTTCACGTAGCACAGGACAAGCCATGGTATCAACACCTTTGTTTAGCTGTCACTTCCAGCAAAATATTTTATACGACAATTAAAATTCTCGGGACGTTTGCGTTGCAGACCGAGGAATAATCGTACCCTTCTGGATCAGTTCAGCACACAGCCAGGGTGGCTGTAATACCAGGGTTCACGCGGAGGTTGCTACCTTCGGATCAGCTTCCCTGGGAAAGGAGGGAGAGGAGGGAGAGAGGAACCGGTGTGAGAGCAGAGGAGTGCTCGGGACGGCTGCCAGCGTCGGTGCGGGTGCCCTGTGGGTCAGAGCTGCCGCATCCGAGTGCCACTGCGGTGACACAGCTATTCGCAGAATTAAGTTTCTGGGGTTTTCTGCCAGAGACTCCATTGTCTCGGCATTTTGTTGTGCTTTGCTTTGTTTTGTGTTTTGTTTTTTGTTTTGTTGTGTTTTGGTTTGTTTTGTGTTTTGGTTTGTTTTGTTTGAGCTCATCTTTTGCCTTTGCCTTTGGAGACACAGTTGGGAAATACTCGTAAGGCAGGAAAAAAACCAATTCCTGAGTTTTTCTACTTAGGAGAATCCTCCAAAGGATTTCTAATTTGCAAGAGGAGACAAAGGAGGAGGCTCTCTGCACTGAGGAGCTGGATTTTACATCAGGTGATTCGGGAGAGCCTGGGCAAATCAGCTTCTCCCTTTGTCTCCAAAATGGTCATGCTGCCTCGGAGGGAAATTGGGAGGAAAAATCATAAATCTTTGTGGAGCAATAAATAGAATATAAATGGGTATCCAATATGCCACTGCTTTTAAGCTCGCAGTCACACTGTGCTGCTCAGTTTTAGGGTAGGAAGTAACGACGACCGCTTAGCAAATCTGGCAGGAACACAACAAAAATACTGTGAAAGATGACAGAAACTGATGAGCTTTCTATTCAAATCCGTCACAAATCTCAGGAGTAAGGTTTTTGTATAAATACGTATTCATTTAAGGGAAGGAGGATAGTCTGCACTTTTCGGTGTTGCCATCAAAAAATGGCTTTGTTTTGCACATGTATTAATAGAAACACTTTATTTTGTTGAATAAAATAGTTGAAGTTTTTTCTTTTAGTAAGTACATGGTGAAAAATAATATTGCTTCTATTTCAGAAATAAAATACCTTAATATTTTAGGTTATTTAATAATGTTATAATTATTAGATTTACTAAATTAATAATTTCACTTTTCATGCTTTTTACACCAAAACCGAATTCAAACTTTTGCCACCATATTTCATTTCAAAATGTCATCAAAATTAAATCATTAAAAAGTTCATAAATGTATTTATTACCAAGTATCATCTACAAAACAATTCATGTTTTTTAAAAGACAAAAGCTTCATATTTACTTGGAAGATATTGAAATAGTACACAAAATCATGGTTTTACTACTAGTCTAGATGCATAGTCCTCCAATATGCAATAAGAAAAGCTTTCTTATAGTTTCATTAGATACTAGCGCATCCAGTTACACCGCCATTTATTAGCAATTAGCATTTGTCATCCCTTCTCCCACAGCAGCAAATGAGATATTAGCATTTTTCAGTGTGCTCAGAATAGAAGACACGTGTTGTTCATGACATGTGTGCTAAGTGTTGGCAGGGGATGATTTTCTAAAGGCAATATTTAGTAAATATATATACAAAGAAACTCTTGCCTGGACATTTGGTAAGAAAAAATGTACTTCTGTCTCGTGGGTGTGTTGCCGCTTTTGACAGGGATGAATAGTTGTGGGTAAATGAGACATGTTAATACAGGAATAATGTATAAGGTTTTGTATGATAATTTTGTTACTTTAAATGTTTTAGTTTTGTACAATCATTTGTTATCTTAGATAAGGTGAAAATTACTGTATATGAACACACAGGCATGTATATGGACACGTGTGTGAGACTGTAGATACATACACAGACATATACATATAGATATATATAGGTCTGTATCGGGTTTGTTTCCCCTTCTATTAGATATGAAGGGTATGCTGTAGGGTCAGACTGACAGAGATCTGAATCGGCCACGTTCGGCCGTGCAGAGAGCGCCAGTGCAGATTCCAGCCGTGCAGCCACCGCGTTCCTGGCGTGCTTTATTTCTTGGGAGTGTGCTGCTGATCTTTTGACCTATATGCAGGAGAACTGAAAATAACTGTAATCCTGAGGTTTACACAACCTTTTTATTCTCATGGGACTCTCCAGAATCATTCCACACCTCACTCCAGTAACTACATGGAGTAAATGGAGGTATACTCCTTTCACAGACAGACATATATAAAGCGGAGGACACTCAAGTGAATTTGAAATAGAAAGATATAGCCAAAATAATGACCACTTAAAGTTTTTGTTTAAAATCTGACCATAAACAGCTGAGGGTAATCCAAAACTTGATATTGCATATGGGCATCTAGCAAGAATCGCTGTGATTTGATTTAGCAGAAGCTAAACCTTCTGTTAAATCAATCAGAGTCTTTAACTGCCCTAGCTGCCTGGTGTGTGTACGCTCTGCGATGCTGAGGTTGTTACTAGGGAAGCAGTATAATGCTGGAGCTGCATGAAGTGGGAGCTGGAAGCCAAGAATTTATTGCTACAGTTCTCCCTATTCATTAGTTTGCTGTATGACCTTGGAAGGCACCCATGTCATTGTCTCTTGGCTTCTGCAGAGGCACTACGCAAAGGCAGGTGTCCCCCAAACTTTTTGCCACGCCACATCTTAGGTATGCTATTTACACCTCCCTGACCCGGTGGCTGAGGCAGAGCTGGTGCCAAGCTGACTAAGAGAAGCAGGGAGCCGTGGCTGGCTGGCAGGGAGAGCAGGCAGGTCCTACCTGGCAGGGGGCTTGTGAGAGAAGAGGGAAACTGCAGCTGCGCAAGAAAGGGAGGCAGCGCTGCTGAGCACCGCTGGCCAACTGCAGTCAGCTGGCAAACACTGCACGGACCTGCCACAAGCACAAACCTGTCCCCATTTGTCCTTGATGTGACACCCCTAGCAGATGTTATAAATTCTGCCAGGAAGATCTCGCAGCCTAAATAAGAGATAGATGCAGAGAAGCTTTTGGTGAGTCCGGAGAACAGCATGATTAGGAATTTTTATTTTGTTTTGCTCTTGCTGGTTCATTTCCTGAACATGGTGCAAGAAATGAATCTTTAGGAAAGATTTGAGTTGGAAAGCAGCAGTATCTGACCTGTCAGAGTGCAGAGGATAGACTATCTGTATAATGTAACAGGGAAGACACTGGGACATGGAGTTGTAACCGAGTGAGCTAATTGCATCCAGTTTCTGTTGCTGGTGGAGCATAGAGAGAGTACAATGGAAGTCTAGATGGAAGATGTAGAAATAGTAGGTGTCATAGTCGGTGTTTAACACTTCCTTCTTAAGGAAAGGATTAATCTGTAAAAGTGCTTTGGAAATATCATAAGCATTTTTTCCAACAACATCTCAATTGTCTCTGAATTATTTTGTTTGCTTGTTTTGTTCTCTCCATAAAGCAGCTATCACTTATGCATTTATCTTCACGGTGAGATTTAGTCAGCTGTTTCTCAAGGCTTTATAACAATCTAGAGTAAAGTGCAGCAGAACAGAAGCTCTTCCAATGGTGCTTCCTTGTGCGTCGTTTTATTTTCTTCCTGAAGAAATTTCTTTGCTCTAAAAGCTCAACATACTCTGAATGTGGGCATCTGTTGATGCATCCATATTACCTTTTAATTCAGATCAGAAGTGTCATATCAAATGAGACCTTCCAGTCATTCCCCCTCACTATGCTTTGATTAACAACCGGGACTGGTTTTAGGGGAAAAAGAAAAAAACAACAGATTTCTTTCGGATACAACTAAAGAAAAATATATTATCCAGGTGCTCACCAAATGCTCTCCAGCTGCTAATGGGCACTTTTTCTACGATGCCAGACTAGAGCTATTCTGAAGTGAAAAACCTGAAATATGGGCACTGGGTGCTTAGCGCCACCTCCTTCGCTCTGCATTCCCTTGAATTGTGCAACTCTACTTGCGAACACTTGTCCTTCATTGGGTGTGCATTTTCCAGATTCCTTACAGTGCTCCCTTGCTGATTATGTACAAGTCTTTAGTCTTGCTTATTCATATTAATTAATTCAGTATTATCTTCTCTGACTCTCACAAGAGCAACAGTTGATTGTTCCTTAAAATTTGCCATTTGACTTCAGAGAGACTTGCCGCTACTTACATGGTTACGTTTCTTTTTAAAATCTCTGCTTTATTCTATAAATTCAACTCAATTCATCCTCACATCATCATCTGGATTGAAGCAGCATTCTTCTAAAAATGATTATTATTTATACACTGACAGACAGATGTTTACCTGAGCTTCTAAAGACAAATTTATCATAGGCTTTGTGCTAAGGTGTTTGCCTTCTGAGATAAGTATAAGGTAAAATTAGAGGGCTTACAGTAAACTTGCAGCTGGAAACAGAGTTTCACATTGTTTTCAAAATTGTTGTCTAACTTAAAATTTGAGGAGAAGACCTGAATGAAAAAAGGTGGTCAGCGTAGAAGTGATAATCAGAAGAGATGGAGTTTTGCCACTGATTTCAGTAGACTTAGGAATTTACTCAGGAGGTGCTGAAGGACGATGAAGAAAACCTCTCTGAGAAGTTGTAGATAAAATGTTTGGGGAACTCAGAAGCTATTGTGATAATACATTGCTTGTGGTTTGCCTCCTAAAAATGCCAGGACACAAGCTGACCCAATTACAAGGTGAACATGATCATGTTGGCCTTCAGACCATTGTTGAATTGAAACTTTTTTCCCATGGGATTTATAGAATATTTTCCCGAAAAAAGCTGATGGTTATCTTTTTATTTATGCAAAAGTTCTTGCTGACACTATAATCCCTGGTTTAGAGTATAAAGATAGTTCCTAATCAGATTTTTACCCTTCATGGGTGAGGTAATATGTGTTTTTTCCTGGTATTTGTGGTTTTGGTTTATTCAGGTTCTTTGCAAACCTATTTGTGCTCCAGACAGATTTTATTACAGCTAATAGGAAAAAAAATGGGTATTTATTTTAAAATTGTCCCATATGGAAAAGGTGTTTTAAGATCAGTGCTAACAATGAGCGATGTTATGCAAACCACTGGGATGAAATTCCTTTCAAAGTGATGTGAGCAACACATGAGCTATTCTGAATCACCATGGCTATGTGCTTAACTCACCTGCCAGGGATAGTTCCACAAGGAACACGTATTGATAGTAAATAATACTTTCACTTCATTTATTTTTTTGGTTTTTAATCAAGTTCTATTCCCCTCCTCAAACTACCCACATCCTTCACATATAGGCTATTTTTCTTAATTTTTTTCTAGAAATATTATTTTCTTCTACAACATGCTAAAATCTGTTTCTCTTATAAAGAGAGGAGAAACCCCTCCCTTCCTTATGATCTCCTGACATGTTTGCTGTCGTTCCTGTTGGTAAATAGATTTGCTGTTAATGAGAATTTATGCAGAGGGGGTGGGTCAGAGAAACCAGAGATAAACGTGAAGGGCTCGAGGTTTTTCTCTTCTTGTGGTGTTCCCTTATCCTTGCGAAAAACAATGGGTGGGTCGAAATACCAGAATGCTTGGGGTTATTTTTACATGTTGTCTGTGCTGTTCACAGCATGCTATGCCATTTTGGAGGATCTCGAGCCACTCTGACCTTATGGCCCTTCACCATGCCTTGGAACTGGAGTACTTGTAGCAGCTCAGCAGCACTTTGAAACCCCAGAGCCTCCTTCTGCCCGTGGACTGGATGCCTGTGTCTTGTGTCAGCATTGGACTACAGAACTTTGTGATTTCAACATGTTGACGTACAGCTGCAATTGGTCTTAACCCTTGCCCTTTCAGTAAACGGAGGAGCATGTCTTTTTCTTCAGAACAGCTGTTGACTCTGGTACTGCGAGTCCAACGAAAATAAGCCATGCAAATGTTTGAACAACTCATCTTTATCGTATTCGCTACCAAAAAGAAATAGAGAAGGAAAGAAAAAAAAAAAAAAGAAATAAAAGGTTCATACCTGTGAAGAAAAAAAAGGATCTGCAGATGCTTTGTAGTTTTTAGACTCTTCAATGTGACACACACCATTTCTTCAACACAGCAAACTTGATTGCACAATGAAGACTGAGATTTTTCAAAATACCAGTGGAGTAATTTTCTTGTAAAGAAGGTTTACTTTTTGGTTTCTCATACCCAGGGTACTCTGTACATCTTTACTTATTTATGAACAGACTATATTTTGACATCATATAACTGAGGATATGTATAATAGGATTAAAGGCATTTATAAGCCTTTACCTTATGGTACAGCAACTACTTTTGATTTTAGCACATTACAGAGTAGTTTAAAATATGTCTAATTTAAACTAATAGGTACATCACTGAGACAATCATGTACAGGAAGAAATTTTTGTGTAAATTTGTAATAATGAATGATTCTTTTACATATTGTTAAGGTAAATGCTATTGAAAGATAGTAATGCCTTGTTGGTGAAGAATGAGGCCACATGTGCACAAACTGTTGTGCAGTGCCTTATCAATGCGTTGGATATAAATATGTAGATAATGGATTTTTTTAGATAAATTTGTCAAGACCAAAAGCATGGATGTCAAGTGTCAATAAGAATTGGGTTTTGTTCTTCTCAGCTGTTTCTCTACCTTTTTCTTCTCTCACCTGCTCTGATTGCGAAAAGATTGATTTCTTTCCCCCCATGAAGGAAATATAGATAAAACACAACTGAAGAGGAGTCCTTTGCTGTTTTCTGTTTCCTCTTTTAAAGTTAACATATTAACCCTTTTTTAAAAAGTATTGAAAAATGAATTAGCAGATTCATTCCATAAAGAAATAGAAAGAGAACAAAAATATATTTTAAGACATGACTTAAACTGGAATCTTGGTACCAAATAGTTTTTGTCTCATCCAAAAATGAAGGAAACTATCATCATCGTTATTTTTAGAAATTAGAAATGGGAATATCTTGGAGAAATTGAACAAGATTACTCACATATTTAAGTTTTTTAATCCTCTTCCACCAGGAGTCAGATTTTCCTAAGATATAACATCCATTGCCGGCAATGGAAATACCAAGGAGTTAAAATTTGCTTTTGTCTATACCCATTTACAGGACAAACCTAGACTGTGTCTGTCTGTGACTTGTGACTTTTCTAATCTTGAAGGCCATGAGCTACTTGGTCAGATAAACTGTTAGTCTGACTTTTCGGCTTGAATTGTACCAATTCCCTTTACCCGATTTAAATCTCTTCATTAAAAAGAAGCCTTGGCTTTGTCGGTCCATTCTCCAGTTTTTCTTCTTGTTTTCTTTTGCTAAAAACACCAGCCTTGAAACAGCTACCTGCAAAGCTACAGAGCACCAATGTAGCTACACTACAACACCCTTCTCTATTGGAGGAATCATATTGCTGCTAGAATTCAATGTTTGTGGATCGCTTTATTACCAACAGAGAGGTTTTTATCCTACCAAGACTTGCACATGTGCTTTACTTTACCCAGTATGAGTGCTGGAATTCACGCGGTACTCACATACGTACATAAAGCACGTTGTGGGTAGTTTTTAGAATCGAGACTATAATTAGCCTTTTTTTTCCTCAAGCAAAGTAGACAGTGATGGGGGGTTGGTTGTCTTTTTTTTTTTTTTTGGCTCTTTTAAATTTTTACTCACTCATGGACTGAAGAAAACAAACAGTTTATCTGGGCCTTATTGTACAAAAAGTGTGTTGTGTCCACAATTGTGTACAGAATTTTTCTTCATTAATTTTGTTTTAAATTAATAAAATTGATTTCTGAACATATTAAACAACTGTCTTGTATGCAAGTGTATGATATTTCTGCCCTCTAGGTTGGGAACGAGGAGACATCTCTCATCTCTTTGCTGTCACAATGCAGAAGTTGTTCACCTGCATGTGCCCGGCTGAGAAGTTAAATAGGATAAAAAATATTTGCATCTAGTTTACAAAAAGCTCAGTTAGATGGGCAGCAGTTGTTTCGCTTATCAGCAG